GAAACAAACATTTTGAGGCGGAGCGCGTGAGGGAATTATCCTCCTCAAGCCCTAGCCGCTGCAGCAGGAGACATGGAACGGGCGTCGGGGATCGAGCGACTGCGATGCGAGCGCTGGTCTGCCCCATAGACCACTACAGATACAGTCCAATAGGACCAATAGCTGAGGTTGTGGGGAATGCCCAATAAGGTACCTTGGCCTCAGCCTGTAGAAGAAGAAGGAACAGGGAGATGTTTAGTCAGTAAGAGTCTGACTCTCCTCGCCTTACCCTGGGCCCTGGGCGAGCGCTGTTGGTGTATGTAGTTCCCAACTCAAAAATCAAGAACGTAGGGTTCATTGAACCACCTTTTATGATACCTACTTGCTAGCTTTGTGTAGAGATTATGACAAACCATTCTTATGTAACATAGACCCATAGCATAATAATAATAAGCTATAGATTAGATTAAAAACGTTGTCTTTGGTTATTAGCTGTTTGGAATTACATAAGTTGTTAGAGATCAAACTAGAATTATTGTGTAGATCTAACTAGGAGAGGATTGGATAGGAAATTGGATTTTTCTACCTAAGCATTCAATATAGAGTTTAAAATACGAAAACACTTTTTTAAGAATTCATACTTACCTACCTTAAGTTATACCTAATACTCTGCCTACTTAAGAAACATCGAATACATTATCAAAACATTGATTCTCCCGCCCAGTAACAAAATTTAATATTTAATACGTCAGCGAAGTCAAAGATTGGATCAAAAACGTTTATTTAATTAGAAAATTCTTCCAAGTCATGTCAGTCTCGTTTTATATTTGACATAGAAACGCCATTTAAACTTAGATGATAAATTGAATTCAGTATTTTCACTTAGTAAGAAGAAAAATAATTCTACCTTCCTTTTTCTAATGACGTGTATAGATAAAACATGTAAGTACCTACCCACATTTAATTTTGAGGGGGCGAAAATCTTCTAATGACTTCATCCGTCCTGGTTGGGTGAGATATAGTATCAGAATCTTACTGACTAAAACTTCCTCGATCTGACTCTTGATCCGAATGGCCGTGGATCATTGCGTTTGCACCCGAAACCTTGGCCAGGGCATCGTTCCTAGCACACCCATCTGGGATGGTCTTTCATCTCTTTGAGGCATGTGCTGATATGGTTCTGTTTGGGCAGCCATCTTTGCACGCCGGTGGCCGGAGATTGTCACGCGATTCCTTGATTGAGTGAATCTATTACCAACAACACTAAACTATAGAGAAATGAAAAACAAAATAATGCCCTGCAATTCTTTCTCTTACTCGGACCTCAGACTGAGAAATCCCTTTTCAACTGTTTACTGTTAAGTGCTGTTACAATCATAGGTAAATTAAAAAAACAAGTTTGTTGCGATAAACATTGAAGATTGGCAACATTAGACATGGTGTCAATCCCATCGGACACCTATTGTGCAGTAGCCCGCCAGGCATGATCACCTCGCCTGATCGGAAGATCCTCCTTTTCCAATCTTACTTAATTTTTCTCTAAGTTCCTTAAAAGTGAAACGCCATAAGATTCTCATTACAATGATGAAAAATGTATTATTGGATCGAAGAAAATATATTTCCTAAACATTATCTAGTAATTTGCCTTTTGGTAGCCAGATTATAATCAGCGCCATTTATCCCGGGTCGGAGTGCCCTTTCAAACGAATAAATCGTTGTCTGGTACGAGTACCTCGTGTAAAAGGGCCTAAAGACGATTTTATTTGGATGAGGATATCGGTCACTTAATGAAAAAAGCTAACGGAAAATCATGGCCGATTTTCCTTGGTAGAGATGAGAAGATATAAGGATTTGTAGTGGTTTAAAAACGCATAATTTTATGAGACATGAAGCTTTTTCTCAAGGGGCGTGGAAATGGGAGGGGAGTGTCAGACTCTTAATGACTAAAAACCACTTTGTTTATTTGTAAAGAAAGTAGGTATTTCATTATGCATGTCGTGGAGGGCCGCATGTTAAGGCACTCGCTCCTCGTGTCTAAGGGTAACTTTGTAACCTGGCAAGTACCAAGGTGACTTTTTCTGAATTATCTATTTTTAAATATTATTTAGACACCACTGAAATACGGTGAAGGAAAACGTAGTGAGGAACCATGGACTTATAATTTCTAATTATAAGCTTGAAATCGCCAATCCGTTTTAGGCAAGCGTGGTGATTAATGCTCGAATCTCTCACGATTGGACTTACATGATGTCATTTCATCAATCACAAATAATTCCAATGTAACGAATGATGTACTGACGCCTTTCAAAAATACCAAAATAGATTATTATCATACACAAATCATTTCTGTGTTTTATTCTGATAGAAAAAACGGAAGGAAAACCTTTCAAAGAGACTTAAACCACGAATCCATTGCCATCAACTTATAACTGATTAATACCTCATAAACTATATCTACTCATATCTGGAGCTAAATAGAACAAAATGATCGGTTCTCTACAGACTGAACAAATAAATATTCCATTTATCAACGGTTCCCTCACATTTTTTGATGTTTCAAAACAATTGAACGTCACTCCAATCATCGAGTTGTTTTTGCTAATACTACAGCATATCAAAATACACTATTTTTTGCGATTGAGACTCTTAAACATAAGAATAGAGTTGAAAGTCTATTGTCCACATAAAATGTATGCTTTGGAAGGAGCACTTTTTTATTAGAGGGGAAATCTTCAGATGGCTCCTGAATTTTGGGGAGGGAGATTAGAAAGTGTGGAATTTTTATCACGCTAAAATCACTTCTGTAGTGGCCATCATCTCATCATCTATTATATATTTGGGACCCTGGGTCCTCTTATAGACCTACTCAGGAATAATGGCTTAAAAAGACACTCGGGCAGCGACAGCACCCCATACTTCCCCGTGAAAGGGACGAAGCAAACGACCAGACCATAGGACTGATGGTAGATCCACCGCTGCCTGCCTCATGCACAAGGCACTCACAAAAACTTTTACTTTTTGAGAGTTCCCTTTTGGGTCCCATCTGTGGTGTGGGCTCTTTAAGGCGCACTTGGAACGCTAGCCATGCGCTCAGGTTTGGTTCTAGTCGGATGGCGAGTTACCGTTGCTCGCCGTCCGAAGCACGCGCTTACGGCAGCCGGAGATCATTCGCTCCACACCATGACCTCGACTAAGGCCGGACGCGAGAGACCGCCGCCACGGATCACTTCCCTGAGGACACGCCGACTCAAATCGAGTACAATACTCCTACAGTCCACCATGTCCTCCGGGTGGTCCTTATAATGACGACGACCAGACGCTCCTTCCCAACAAGTCCGAAACAGGTACCCAACGAAGCTTTGGACAACAGCTGCGTCAGGCGACAGGAAGAAAACTATGGCGTCTCACTAGCCACTTCTCAAATATGAGTCTTACCACTGCTATAACAGCGTAACATACTTATTTGTTCGACTGCTTAGACTGCGCTATTTGTTATCCTAAATATCAATAATATTGAGTACATAACCCGACTGTATGTATATACGTCAGCTAAACGATTCCTACTAAAATCGTATGATTCGTTTACTGACTAGTGACTATAGGGAAATGATAAGAATAACGTCAAGCCGTCTATTAGTAATTTCCTTTTCCTTTGTACTCATAATATTGTGTCAACCACATTCTAAATGGTAGATAATGTGATTATGCTATGACTAGTTTCTGCAGGCGGTTTCCCCGTTTTCCTGCTCTGTGCAAACATGTATCATAATTCACTGTTGTTATTGACATGTACCTTTCTGAATTGTTGATCGACCTCAGATAAATGTTGTTTTCATAGAATAGAAGGTCAACAAGAAGACTAATCAACTGATGGTAAACGATCAGCGTGGCGCATTGATACCTGAGACACGAAAGGAGTCAAAAGTACGTTTTTGACTCTTTTAAAATGAGTACTCCTTGAAGATAATATATGTATTTATCGCATCGGTTCGAAATACAGCTCATATTAGTTTTTCTAAAAGAACTATGAAACGCAAAATGCACGCATGGTTTTAACAGGTAAAAAGATTATAGACAAATTGTCTTGAACCTAAAATAATCTACATAGAAATTGACAATGTGCTTAACACAGAACTGCAACTTCCACAGGAACCACACCCACAGACTATTTAAAAAAAGAAAAAGATCTATACACTCCACAATGCATTGTTTAGCACTTAACAAAAACAAAAAGAAATACCAATCGAACAAAAATAATTTTAAATAAACTATTCTCCAAGAAAAATATTGCAGTATTCCGCAGGCGGATAATAGGGCCACTTTTAGCTCAACACTCAGAGATAAAAAACACAATTTTTCTTGCAACGTTGCGCGGACGCCGGCACGTTCGCAACTAACCTATAAATTACTAACAAGGTCAAGTTTAGCGTGTTTTGTCTGCATTTTCAAAGAAATGCACCTGCCTTTTCTTTCTCGTTGTACTAAGAATATTTTGTTAGTTGTACCTATATAACATAAGCTTTTTTACAATATCCAGCCACACTTTATCTACTGTGCTTCAAATGCCTGCTGAGTGAGTGGTCGGTTTTTTCAGTTAAGACAAAAAGATTGTCTCCTGTGTAGCTGTTTTCTTTTCACCTCAATCGGTTGAAAATTTTAGCTTCTAATTTTAGTTGACATATTCCACTTTATAAACATTTCTATGTAAGTACATAAATAATAATATATTCACTGCAAAATACAATCCCTAAAATACGATCATCGGTGTGAAACAACCACAGCGTTGTATTTCGCCGTATGAGTAAGGTTACCGAAGGCCCAAACTTTCCCCTCCCTAATCCCTCCCTTATCCCAAAATCTCCAAATCCGTAGCTTCTCCATTTTTACGGGTGTCCATAGGTTGAGGTGGTGTTGATTGCTAACCATCAGGTAATCTTTCTGTTACCACTTAAAAAAAAAAAAAAAGCGATGATGATTACACATTCTTGGTCTTTTATTTATAATGTTTCCTCTTGCTACAGGTAGATGACCCTGGGCCTGGGCCAGACTTACAGCATCCAGTACAGCATGCAGGTCTTCCAAGGAAGTTGGAGGTCTTTCCTCTCCCACGGAAGGAAGAACATGAGCTCAAGTTTAATGTATCATGGATACCTTCTATGGGTAAGTTTTTTTGGTCATCTAGACTAATTATTTTATTGCCGCACTCAGAGTTGTTTGATGGTGACTTAACTGAGCCCTTTGCAATTGTTTTTGGAACAAAATCGTGAAACCTTCAAACTTACCTTAAAGATAAGGTCCTAAGAAGGATCATTATTTAGTGTCGATCTCGGAATACTAGATGAGACTAGAAGGTAAAAAATTTGAAGACACAAAAGTAATATTGTTAAATATCGCAGTGGAATCAGAAAGTAAATCAAAGACAAATCATTTACTTGTACCTTAAACAAGCACGCCGAAGATTATTTGAACATCAGCCTATCTATCAATAAAGGAAGATGTTAGTTCCAAAATGAAGATTCCAATAGAGAAGAACAAGCAAGCCGATCCATCTATACTATTATCAATATTAATGTTACATAACATGACATAGTTATCTGTTCGATCTAAAATTAACCAAAAACCAACTAAATTAACATCACAACACAGTCTATTTTAATTATCAAGTTCATAGAAAAAAAAGGGAACCCAGTATTTCTAACAAGCTATTTACGTCAATGAAATAAACGTAAGACGTGAATGAATCGGATGGTAGTCGGTAATACAAACAGAAATACAGATATACGTAACGGAAACGTGGTATTACAGATTGATGAAAGCAACTACATAATGATCTTTACCATCATTTGAACTGACTATGATCCGTTAATGCATTGTGTTGACGTGGGCAAAATTGATGGCATTTGGAATTTGCGTATTTTCTATTGTAGTAGAATGTTTGGACGCTTTAGCTGTTGCATTTTCTTAAATTAGAACTATTTTAACGCCTGTTTATAGTGTACTAGCGACCCGCCCTAGCTTTGCACAGTTGATATTAAGGTTCTCAACTATTTAAAGATGTTGTTGTACATATAAATCTTCCTCTTCAACCACTTTATCTTCGAAAAACCTAATAAAACCGCATCAAAATACTTTGCGTACTTTTAAAGATTCAAGCATACGTAGGGTTATAGGGACAGAGAAGGAGACTTTGTTTTATATTATGAAGTGATAAAGTTAAGAAAAGATGAAGTGATTGATGAAATGGCTACTTCCCTTGGTGAAGCGAGGTAGAGTGTCAGACTTTTACTGACTAAAACACCCCTGTTCCTTCTCCTGCTTTAGTACCTTATTGCGATGGCCTGCAACCCCCGCTAAACATCGGCCCTGTAGGACCCCGTCTGTGGTGGTCGATTAGCGCGTACGCCTAGGCCTGGCTCTGGTAGGCCGGCGAGCTACCCTTACTCGCCGTCCGTAGACCCGAGCTTACGGCGGCTGGAGATCATCGCTCCAGACGCCTACTGCACGGTTAGTGCGTGAGGAGGAGGAAAGTTGGCTTACGCACTCCGCCTGCCGGGGTTGCGCAATGAGGCACCGCGACCTCGGCCCAGAGCAGGAGTAGGAACCGGGGGGTTTTTAGTCAGTAAGAGTCTGACACTCCCTCTCGCCCGGCCCTGGGCGGGAAAAGTCATTTGATGATTTTTCCCTCACAAAAAAAAAACGCACACCGCCTCCTTTTTAACTGTGATTGAACTTGCACCTCGATTTCTTGCCAGTAAATCGGTGTATGATGAATGCCGTTTGGTAGATAAATGATAACAGACTCGTGAACTGTTATCAATGTCATTTTATGATTATTGTCTCTGATAAAATTGCTGCGTAATTTTGATCTGCTACTATTAGATATGTACTTATATTACATTTCAGACTTGTCTAATACCTCCATGATCCGGTAGAGTTCTTTGGTGTTTCGATTTTGTACCTTTGTCTTATCAGGGATCAGTAAAGCGTTTAAATTTAAATTACTTTCAATATTAAAATTTAAATCTTAATACAAATCAAGATTCTTCTTCTAAATTAGGTGTCCGTGTATTTTAAAGGTTTCTTTATCCTAATCTGTCTGACTGTTTATCTCGGTCGGTAGTCGGATTACTTGATGGTAAGCAATCGGAACAAATGGATACCCGCAATACCATAGGAGTTACAAGTGCGTTGCCGACCTTTTGGGGATTAGAGCTCGGAGATTAAAGGTATGGACGAAGGATAGGATTGGGCCTCTGGTAACCTTACCCACAAGGCGAAACACAACATACATAACTATTATGTAATTTTCGAGCTTACAAAAACCAGGTGTGTTATTGTTCGAGTTATCTAAATGCGGGTTTAGTTGGAAACAAGTGGAGAGCTTAGGCCCACACAATATTGTTGATATAGCTCTTCGCTGATAGTGTACGTATTTTCCCTTAGTTTGCAATGTTTTATGGACATGAGCTCATGTGACATTCCCATGTACAGTTTTCACAGTTGATTTAGAACAGAATCAGTATCTAAGTATGGATTCCGTCAGGCGGATTTGCGTATGAAGCGTCATAATGTACCGCGGCCTCGGCCTGGAGCAGGAGCCTTCTCCTGCCACGGGTTGGTTTCTAGTCAGTAAGAGTCTGACACTTCTTAACGTCCCACCCAGGGCAAGCCAAGTACGGTTATAGCAGTGGTAAGACCCCTCTTTGAGAAGTGGCTTGGGAGACGTCTTGGCGTCCTCACCTTCCGCCTGACGCAGGTGCTTATCGGGCACGGCAGCTTCGGTAAGTACCTGTTTCGGATCCGGCAGGAAAAACGCCCGAATGTCGTCATTGTGAGGATCAGCCTGAAGATACGGTGTTTGGCAGTGTGCCCTGCTTGGACTAAGCACCGCCGTACCCTCGGGGAAATGATCGACAGCAGCGACCTCTTGCGCCCAACTTTAGTCGAGGCCATGGTTCGTAGCGAGAGGAACTGCGAAGCCGTCTCCTCTTTCTGCGAAGCAGTGATGCGCGCAAAATAGGAGGCGGAGCGCGTGAGGGAACTATCCTCTTCACGCCCCAACCGCCGCAGTAAGGCGACGATCTCCGGCCACCGTAAGCGCTGGTCTGCGGACGGCGAGTGAGGGTAGGTCGCCGACCGAGCGTACGGTGCGTAGCGTTCCGCACGCGCCTCCTAGAGTCAATAGACCACTATCCCTACAGGGCTGATGTTCAGCCGAGGTTGCGAGGAGGCACCGTGGACATGGCCTAAACTAGGAGAAGGAACGGGGGATTTTTAGTCTGTAAGTGCCTGACACTCTCTCTCGCCTTACCCTGGGTGGGAGAAATCATTTCATGATTCTCCCCTGACAAAAAAAAAAGATACAAACCCCTTTTAAAAAATATGCCAAAAGTATGTAGCGTGTGGATTTAAATGAAGCCTGATATGATATCATTTGTAAAAATTAGTATGTTTTATTTTGTGGAGGGGCAATCATCAAATTACTTTTATCACCCAGGGTGCGGCGAGAAGGAGTGTCAGACTCTAACTGACTAAAAACGGTTCCGTCTCCTGCTTTAGGCCGGTTTACGCATTGCCTAGACCACTGTGTAACTACGTGCCGGGAATTCAAATCCCGCTCGAAAGAACACATTGTATAATTTTCAAATTGTTGTTCCAAATTTGGGTACGTGAATTTGTATGTTTGTAAACCTACTCAAGACCCAAGAAAAATGTAGTGTAGTACCTAAAAAAAAGAAAAACTCATTTTTGAGTTAGACTCGACTCTTCAACAAAAAAACAAAACATACGACATGAATTTCTTACATCACTAGCCTTCACAAAGCTCCATAAAACGGATTATAAACACGTAAACTGAATCTAACAGTATACTCAGTCTATCGTCAAAATATATAAATTACTTCTAACCAGAAGACCGTAAATCACCTCATTGTTCATCATTCACTCCTTGTACATACGTCATTTATAAAATAGCTATAGCGATCCGCCCCGGCTTCGCATAAGTGTAATGCTGATACTAAATACCTCCACTATTTAATGGAAGTTATTATACATATAAACCTTTCTCTTCAATCACTTGTCTATGTTAAAAAGAGCATCAAATCTGTTGCGTTGTTTTAAAGATTTAAGCATACATAGAGATAGGGACAGAGAAATCGACTTTGTTTTATACTATGGTGATATTGTGATATAAATGAACACAAGTTGAGTAAAATGTCGTTTTTTTTGTACTTATTGTAAAAGGTGGTAAACGAGCCTGTGGACAGTCCCAACACCTGGGCCTCGAGTCTGCTATTACAATAGTGTCAGATCATTGGTCGCAAAATTGTTGATTTTGACAAATTTTGGTAATCTACTAACACGATAGCATCATTATGACCTCCCAATGCCACTTCATTGAAATAGTTCTTTAGAACGGTACGGACAAATGAATATTTGACATAATACGTTAATTGATAAAAAAAGGTCAGTTCCTTTATTCAATGATTTACGTTTAGAATATCTCGTACTATAATTATATTACGACATTACCGAACGCCAATGATCAGCCATTTTGAATTAACAGATTACGAACTTTTAGCAAAATGACAATGGATTGTGTAGGAATGTAAACACTTTGAAAATAGTAGACTCGGGCCCCTGATGAATGACAAGGCAAGTTTGTGCATTTCTGGTTTTTGGCAGGTTGTAAGTGATTTGAGGATTACTGTGGATTGGGAAAGGGGAGAGAAAGATATCCAGTGACACAACTTAATATAGCATTTTTTTTTGGTACTTTATTCGGGCGCTGTCAAATGTGCGCTGTTTCGACTAAAAACTAAGTTTTCAATTCTCTAATTTCTTTTCTTTTTCTTCCAATTCTGTTCTAATAAACTCGCAAGTTTTTTTGTATACAAATAATAGGTATTTCTAAAGCTCTGTTATTAATGATATGTCTATCTATCTAGACGTCTATCCAAAGCAATTTATTTCATAAACCTACCTACACGAGTATAAAAGACACTAGACTTATCAATTTGTAAGTTATTTTTATATCAAAAACCAATTTTAATAGAAATAATGGTTGAGTGACTTCGTATCTGAGATTAGACAAACAATTGATAAGATTTTAGCTTTAGAAATTCACTCAGAGACTGGAGCTATTTCCGATGATAACCCAAAGATTAATAAAGATTGTAGGGTACGTCTGGATCGAGCTCGCTATTATCGCAGCGGTATGAACCCTCTTTGAGGAGTGGCCAGAGAGACGGTACAGCGTCCTCTCCTTGGGCCCGACTTTAGTAATTCGGGAGATTCCTTTTTTGAATTTAGTGTTCGAGTTTCTTCAAAGTGAGAGATATCATAGAACATAAGTTGGCAGAGAAGGAAGGGACGGAGTGGTTTTTAGGCAGTAAGAGTCTGAAACCCTATTTCTCAGTATTCTCAGGATTGTTGTTGCTTACATCGGCCAATTTGAAAGTTTTAGAGAACGCCTTGTTCAGGGCTCTCCGTTTTTAAAGGGTTCACTCTTAGCCAGTACGTACTTTATTTATCTCTCGTCCCATGTTTGTCATCTGTCTATATGCGGCTGGTAATGTCGAACTGCTTCTACCCTACGAGCAGGATCACTACTCTCGCGACTCCACTATGGACGGCCAATGAAGGCAAGCCAAGGAGACTTGATCCCCGTCATCGTTCACTGCGGGCATTACTATTATTATTTAATCAAAGACAATGAAATCACGACAAGTTCAATTAATCATATATTTAAATAGATTACCTACTCTATGCCAATGACCGATAAGATAATGAAAGGTGTAGTTTAATTCAAAACGAGTATGACTACATATTTAGATGTCATCATCATCAGCCTATAAGTGCCCATTGCTGAGCAAAGGCCTCTTCTCACACGGAAAAGGTTAGAGCATTAATCACCACGCTTGCTTAATGCGGGTTGGCGATTTCAAACTTATAACTAGAAATTATAAGTCCAAGTTTCCTCACGATGTTTACCTTCACCGTTTGTCAGTGGTGTCTAAATAATCATAGAAAGTACATATAACTCGGAAAAAGTCACATTGGTACTTGCCAGGTTTCGAACCCACACCCTCATGCATGAGAAGCGGGCGCATTAACCTCTGGGCCACCACGACATAATTAGATGTGAATCTTCAGAATAGTAACCAATAAGCTAAAAACATAACATAAGCAAAAATTATAAACCTCTCTATCAATCTTTGGCCCCGGAAAAAATTAATGCGTAATTTTGTCTTACAAGACCACCGAAAGATCCAATTTCTAAGGGCCTATCTCTCTTTATTTACTCAGTAAGCACGCGATACCATTTATGTTCCATCTAATCCTCTTCAATAGTCGGTCAAGAGGACATCATCACGGCTTATAAAACTCTCGAGGGTTCCAATCTTAAGGAGTGCTTGAATACCCTGTAATCCATTAAGCGGACGGCGAGAGGTTGGATAGACAGCGCGTGCAAATCATTAGCTTCCTTCCAAAGTGGATGTTGGATATTTTCTATGAGTTATATATAACTGTGTTTTTATAATAACTATCGTGAGACATACTAAATTAACTAAGAAAAGCTCTACTAGTTTCGAACCACAGAGGGGTTCTTCCTCATAAGCAGCGTGCGCGGACGCGGCGATGTCGCGCATCCTACTCATGAGGAGAACCCCTCTGTGGTTCGAAACTAGTAGAGCTTTTCTCAATATTATACCTACACGTGAGTAACCCGCGATTCTTAGTTAATTTATTTACATATAACTAATTTCGTGCTGGCCTGGAGGTCAAGGGTCGCGAAATCGGGAGCTAAAAGTACCAATGTGACTTCTTTCGAGTTAAATGCAGTTTTACATTTTTAAGTTTATTTAGACACCTCTGACAAACAGTCAAGGTGAGATCGTAAGGTAACTTGGATCTACGGTATAATTAGGTATGTTTTAGAATTATCCAATCCGCCTTCAACAAGTGTAGTGAATAATCTATATTAATATTATAAAGAGGTAAAATTTGTAAGTTTGTAAGTAGGGGGTAATCTTTGGAACCGCTGGTCGGATTGCCAAAATTCTTTGACCGATAGGTAGCTACAATGTTCCTGAGTGCTATAGGCTATAAAACATCACGTTACGATCAAATAGAGCTGAGCAGCGGGAGACGAGAGATTAGCTAGTCTTACATATTTAAATGTTCAATAGTCTAATTATATTGTGGTGACGACATAAATGATTTTTGCATTTTTGCTTTCAACAGGTCGATCTGAAAGTGATCCGCAATCCTCTCTATCTTTAGCACTAGTTGTTTTATTGCATGTTAGCTTTATTTTAACAACTGACACTTTATCTAATTATGTAGGTGCAGTTGACCTACCAGCTGACTAAACAATCCCCTAAAGCTCTTTGTGAAACCTCGATGTTTCTTGTACCGATACCGTCATTATAATGTGCCTTATTTATTTTCAGCCAAGTATTAAAATTGTATGTTAATAAAAAAATGATTAGTTGTGGTTATAATGGCTGTATTGTATAGAGTATTTTTAAAGTAATCAAACCGTATAAAATATCACAATGCTAATAATAATGCTATAATTATTTAAAAAGTGTCAATTTTAACCATTATTCGATTTGCAGGGCCTTAAATTCTTCGCTTAAACAGAAAACTACTCTATTCCTATATATTTAGAATATATTTTTGTCCTCAGGAGCACCAGCAACGGACTACTCCTTGGAAGTAAGGAGTGTGACAGACACAATAGACTGTCGGTCACAAATGTGCTATGAATACAACATTCCTGGGGTGAGTGATGAGTGATGACTCGGTGTTTTAAACCTACTAGCTTCTTTTGCCATACCTATTACTCGAAAGTATAGCAGCTCACACATAGGTCCCATTAAAATAGCATCCATGGTATTTCCACTCTAAATACACTGGTAGTTGCAGCGTTTTGGGGGGTAGTGGCGGGCCTACCCTTAATGGAACCTACTAGCTTTTGCTAGTCATAATTTTCATCCATGTCTTCTCTGTTCTCATAACTTCTATAATAATAATAAATCCTGAAATCTGAAACTCTAATGCGTAAAAGGCCGGCAATGCATTTGAAAGTCTTTTGGGTCACCCGTCAGATCATTTGCCGACTTTCCTATAAAAAAATCCAGATGAAGCGTAAATAGCCTACAACCAAACTAATTTTAGGATTTATAATACTCAATATCTTTATTGCTTTTCCATAAGTACATTTTAAGGTGGTAACAATGTAATAGCTATAGGTTAGGAGGATTTGATTTACAAAATGGGATAACATTAATTAAGGCTGATGGACGAAATCATGTGGCAAAGCCAGATCACATAGTGGATTAATGTCTGAACAATTCGATTTCATATATCGAACGTCATGATGACGTAACGATATTAAGAATTATAATTGATACAGAAAATATACAGCTTTTTTTCTTTCTGACTGAGTGTTAATCGCATGGTTTTTTGATGTGATAGGTCAGCAAACGAGCCGACAGATTACCTGATAGTAAGCAATTAGAGCGGCCCATGGATACCCGCAACAGAGGAGTTACGAATGCGTTGCCGACCTTTTGGGAACTTAGGGATAAGGGTGGGATTGAGATTAAGAGTTTTTTTTAATGTTCTTTAACTTTTTAAACTGTGATTTCCATCACGCCTTCCAAGCATAAAAATGTGACAAAACCTTTTTACTTATATGAAGTTCACTAAAATGTTCTCATAGGATTGTGATGTCGACGGTATGATGAAGATCTATGAACGTTATTTAGAAAATACCCACGTATTTTACGAAAATCAGAACAGAAAGTTTTTTATGTAATAGGTCGACAAACGAGCAGACGGATTACCTGATGGTAAGCAATCAGCGACACCCGCAGCAGAGGAGTTACGAGTGCGTTGCCGATCTTTTTTAGGGGATTAGTGATTTGGAGTTTTAGGGATTGGGGGAGGGGAAGGATTTGGCTTCGGGTAACCTCACTCATACTGCGAAACACAACGCTGTGGTATCGCGTGTGGTGAGGCCGTGGTATCGCTCCGGTCGAGCCGACCCATTCGTGCCGAAGCATTGGCTCTCCCACGCTTAAAGTTGCCTTAGTGTTCCTTTTTTTCTTTCCTAAAGCTTAAATATTCCTTCTTTTACTTACAGCAAATGACGTGGTGGGTGATACCATCAGTCACGAACCCCGTAGATGAGCAGTGCGCCATACGCCCCGGTTGTGCCTACATGGTGAGACTGATCGCACATCCCTGGGACGGGCACACCTCCGCTAATCTACATGTAGAACTGGATGGTAAGTTCGAATGGAGACCAGAAAAATTTAATTGGACTAAGTTCATGAGGATAATGCATGGGGGCCTGGCAAGTACCAATGTGACTTTTTCCGAGTTATACGTACTTTCTATGATTATTTATACACCACATGACATACGGTGAAAGGAAACATCGTGAGTAAACCTTACTTACTGGACTTATTATATCTCATTATAAGTTTGAAATCCCCAATCCGCCTTGAGCAAGGGTCGTGTTTAACGCTTAATCCTTCTCAGTGTGAGAAGAGGCCTTTGCTCAGCAGTGGGCACAGATAGCCTGATGATGATGTGATGTGATGAATTGCATCTTTTGTTCCAGAATGCGTGGTAGGAGTATGTTCATGTGCTTACCGCCTTCGCCTTCCTGAACCCTCGGTTACTGCTCAGACTGTTATGGTAAACGGTGAAATGTTTGCCAATATAAGTTGGACTCTGCCTAAACCAAGTTTCCCTCAAAGACTGCCGTCCCCTAAGTTGGGCAAGAAAAGCTATGTGGTCAGGTAAGAAAATGAAATAAATTAATCACCTTTTGACGTTTGATGTATGCATTTATGCAATCAAGTATCTATCAAGTTTTTTGGAGTGGGGTTAGAGAGGAATGTCAGACTTTTACAGACTATGAACCACCCCGTTCCTTTTCCTGCTCTAGGCCGAAGCCGCGAAATCTCATTGCACCTATCTCGCAACCCCGAATAAAGAAAATGTATGACAGGAGAATTTATATTACACAACAAGTCAGAAGTTAAATTCTATCGACCAAAATGTCCTGAAATATGGCAAAGTCAAAATCATTTATTCCAACTAAACCATAAATGGTATGAAAATAGAACAATAGTCTGGCAGTTTTTTTGTCAGTGTAGCTTGGTTATCGTTCTAAAACGTAGATTCGAATGGAGAATAAGCGAAAAAAACTCTATGTATAATATTTTAGTAATTGAGTAATTGATGAAAGACCTACTTAAACACATAACGCCTTCTTGAATTGCTATATTTAGTTTTAGTTATACTATGAAGGTTTTAACCACTCACCATGAAAACCCCACCTGTTCCACCGTACAAAAACAACATCAAAAAGAAAATCCTCAACCGTTGCTTGAAAAAAACATATATTTGTTTACGAAAGATGTTTTTTCCTTGTAAAAATACACGAAGATCGATCTACTGATGCGACATCTGTCTTTTTCTCACGAACGAAACGATACATCTCATTGATGAGTAAGTAAAATGGATTATTGTGAACGAAAATATTTTATTTTCATAGGTAAACATAATATATTCTTACTTTTGTTTGTTTTTTCTGTATTTACTGCCTTTTTTGGTGTGAGCATCAGAGTGTTTTTGATATTTGGTACTTGAACAGTTTTGTAGGCTTTAGTTAAATATGAGATTTCCAAAATTCTATTTGGAAGGGATATGTATATATATAAAGGGATATGTATAAAGACCGGAGGTTAAGGCGCTCAATGTCACTTTTTCTGTATCATTATATACTTTCGGTGAAGCGAAGCATCGTGAGGAAACCTAGAATTATAATTTAAGTATTCTATGAATTTAAGATCGTCAAACCGCCTTAAAAATCGTGGTGCTTAAAACGTGTGAGAAGAGGCCTTTGCTCAACAATGGGCACTTATAGACTGATAATGTGTGATGTGATTGGTTAATGGTATATTATTACAAAACTACAATAACGAATAAGGTGCACTTAAAGGCAGCATCTAGGCTTAACAGACAAGGAGAGAATAATTTTGTAGTTGCTCACACACTAGGATTATCCCCTGTGTCGACGCTACGTTTACAAACATATAATACCACATACACATAACACCCAGACCGGGATCAACAATTTGTTGATCACACAAAGAGTTGTTCCGTGCGGGACACAGTTACCCAGACACAGCACCATGATCATGGTGATACAGTATATTCAAATGCTCAGTAAGTGTTTTCTACAATCCTACATTGATCGTCAGACAAAAGTCTTTTTTATGTACAGACCTTAAAGCCCTCTTTAAGGCCAAAAATACTTTTGTTGGACAATAGAGTTAAACCGAGGAGTGGGAGTTCTGTAAACACAGGCCTCGCTCTTTTGAAGATTACTGAGACCATATATATATGTATACATATACATCTAGTATATATAGGAATATAGTTTGTATTGTACATTTCTATCAGGGATGTTAGGGAGCTCTGTAACCATAACCGAAAGTATCGGATACCTGATATTAAAAATGTAACCGTAACCGAATCCAATATAACAGTTTCGGAAAATATCGGATAGGGCTGGAGCCTAATTGAGACAAACCACATATTACATTTGTGTTTTACTTATGTAATTCCAAATTTTAACATGCGCAACCGAAATGATCCGAAATAATTTCGTATCTATCCGTATTCGTAACCGTATTTAGTAGGCATAATAATCATTCCTATATTCGTATCCGAAATTTCATATCCATAACATCCCTCATTTCTATAAAAGACGATGATATCAAAAAAATGCTTTTAGGAAATGGGAATTATTGTACATTGTGTAACCAGAAATAGAAATACATCCGAAGTTAGTTCGCCTGATCTATTTATATTTAGTTTAAGTAAATCAGATGATGGAAGTCCGCTGTTAATTGCAGATCAATAATGGACCAAGGTTCTGTAGGCCTACCATGACGTGTTAAAGCGTCAATCTTTCGGGCGAGAAAGAGGGATGGAGCTATACGCCTTTTATAGCTTCATCCCTCTTTTTTGCCTTTTCAGTCATGGTGGGCCCTCTGGACTGGAGCAGAAGAAAGAATGGGCTGGTTTTAAGTCAGTAAGAGTCTAAGGGTGCAGTTCCATTGAGGCGGAGCGAAGCAGAGCGGAGAAAAGCTGTGCCGCGATTCACCAATAACATGGCTTGAAATACACATCTCTTCTCCGATGGAACTGCACCCTGACTCTCCTTCGCGCTCCACCCAGGACAGGTGAAACCATTTGATGATTTTTCCTCTCGAAAAAGAGCTGCCTGTCCAGTGGAAGTGAGTTTGACAAATATCTTTTTATAATGATGGTCATTATTTGTTTTTGGAAATCAAAACTTAGGACTGATAACGTCGGAAAAATTAAGTATTAAAATTATCGATGATTTAAGTTAAAGATAGTTTGATAACTTTGGGATATTTTTTCATTATTTTATAAAGAGAAGATTATCTTTTCTGATGTTGGTAGTAATATAACAAACAGTTTTAAATATTCGTTTATTAATGGCTTCAGAAAGCTTATTCTATGATAGTTGAAATAAAATAATCTCAAGAAATGTTAATACTAATTTAAGTAATTTGTATCAATATTACAATTGTTGAAAGCTTTTAAGAATTGATTGTTAACATTTTCCAAATATCTATTGCTATTTTAAAGAAATAAAAAACTTTTTTGTTTGTTTCATTCTATGATAATTATATGATATACTTTTTTAATATAATTACAGCAACTACTTAATATAATAAGTAGACTGACAATGAAATGAATGATGTAGATAGTTTTTTTTAACCTTTATAAGTACTGTGTTCTGAACGCGACAACTGACGGACGCGGCGAGTGTTGCGTATGCTGCATTCGAAAGCAGTATAAGGTCCCTAGCGAGGCTTGAAACCTATCGAGCTATCTTGTCGATCAGTTACATACATAATTATGTAAATCTAACTAGCTTCAGCCCGCGGCTTCGTACGCGTATAAAAGTAATATATCTCGAAATTTAAAAAAAAACAGCGTTTAAAACGATAGCTCTAATAATATCAAGTTTTACTTATAGCCTTATAGTACTAAGGAACATTATAGCTAACTATCAATGAAAGAATTTTGGAAATCCGACCGCCGGTTCCAAGATGACCTATCCTTTCCCTTAATTACGAACTTACAAATTTTACCTCTTTAAAATACTTGGATTAATTTAATGTCTCACGATACTTACCTTTGGGTCTTCTTCAATAATGCCTTTTGTCCACAGCCTAGGGAAACAGATGGTGTCAGATGCCCATCCATCTCCTTGGTACGCGAATATCATCGCCCGTACCGTTGACGCTGACGGCCTAGTAGCTAACGGTGACACCACCCATTCCTTGCTGCTACCAGCCAGCGAACTCAGTGCTGAACGTAGCGATGAGCGGAGCGGGGACGAAGAGCGGAAAAAACGGCCGCGACACTTCGCCCCCAAAGTAAAATTGTTAGCTAGAGTCACATTGATAGATGAGAGAGGTTGCAACGGGCCTGCTGGAAACGCTACCGCTTATGGTAAGTCTTAGTTTTATTCTAAACTAGCTACTCTCGCGCTGTTTTACCTGCTGCTCCACTCCATTTGATTGTAGCGTGATGTTTTATTGCCTAAAGCACTCAGGACCATTGTAGCTACCTATCAGTGAAAGAATTTTTGCAATCCGACCAGCTGTTACAAAGATTATCCCCTACATACAAACTTACAAATTTTACCTCTTAATAATATTAGTATAGATTGGTCGGTTTATAAATATCTCACCTGGTGGCAATCGATAACAAGTCATATGCGATCCCATTCATAATAAATATGTTTACTTGGGTTTTAAAAATACGTAGATTATCCTTCAGGAACATTTTGGTTTCGTCTAGTTGCATCGATGGCTTTCTATGAGAGGGAAGTATTCCTCAAATGACTTCTCCCGCCGTAGATAGGACTAGAAGGAGAGTTAGAATCTTACTAAGTAGGTATAACTACACCGTTCCTTCTTCTGCTACTTATCAGCCATCCTTATGGGTCTCCCCATATGGATCTCCTTCTCGATTTATAACTCCCATGATTGTCATCACAATAGTGCCATTATATATTCCTAATTACTTTCAGATCCAGCGGCTGCAACCACTAGCAAATTTTCTTTTGGAACCTATGTGAGTACCTATTCATAGACAATAATTGAGTTGTATAGTTTAAAATATAAAATAACATTAAAATTTTTTGTTTGTAAAGTTTATCAGTCGAGATTGTTCTTAGCTATGTTTGGTGGTAATCGATTTAGGTCTTCAAGGTCATCAGGTCGTTTGTTAAGTTCGATAGGCATATTACCCACTCAGTTTACTTGCATTTTTTTGGGTTCTATGGGTTAATTGTGTAGTTTTTTGTGTCGGGGTTTTTTAAAGACTTGGAGTCGATAATTACCGAATCTTTTTCATTTTACCAGGCGATCCTAGGCGCCTTACTTGGCGCTTGGGCGATGGGTGCAGTATTCGTTTTGAGCGCTCGCGTAGTAAAACGCGTATTGAAGTCATTCCGCCCCGCTCCTGTCTCCGCTCCGCTTGAGCCACTGCGTCGTAGGCCTGCCTGGTTTCCGCTGCAGCTGCGTGGGTAAGTAATAGGATTATAAGTTTTATGCTCGACGAAATAAGGTGTATTTTTAAGGTTGTTCTCAAAGATGTGCGAATTATGATATAGTGGAATTTTAACTAATTTTTGAGTCTTTTTTCAGAAAGCTTTAAATTTTTGACATTGTAAAGAATATTGGGTAGACCTATGGGGTCGAAAAATTTTATACGATCTGAGTTTTATTACTTACTTAATGTAAAATCCTAGCTTCACAGAAACCTACCGCTGCGTTTAAATATAGTAACCTACAACTATCTTTATCTACAAAGATAAAATGTTAAGTGACAAACTAAGAAACTACCTAAAACTAACTTCTTAAACAGTAACTTCTACCTTAAACCCAAAGAAATAAAGCATTATTTACACTTTAATTTAAACTAGCTAACTTTTGACGCGTGTACCTAAAGGACCACTCAAAGGTTTTCCATTAAAAAATAATAATTTATTCAGTTTGAAAGTGATGTGACTAGTTGAACCCTTTTTGGATGAAGGCTGTCGTGAAACGTGAAAGCGTATTCATGACTCAGAAAAGGTCTGTTTTGATAATAAATAAATTGGTTTTTGAACGCCTAGTGGCTATTAAAAGACCCGATAGAACGTCTGAGGTCGGCGACGACAGTTCTAGATATAAGCTCTAGAAGTAAATTCTAGTTTTTGATATTTCGATACAAAATTTCAAGTGAAATATTGAATTTTATTATTGACTAGCTTTTGCCCGCGTCTCCGTTTGCGTGGAATGGTGCCTTCCTGCAGATTTTTGGTTCTAATAAAAACTATCCTATGTTCTTTCTCCAGTTCCAAACTATGTCTGTACCAAATATCACAAAAATCGATTCAGTAGATTAGGCGTGAAGAAAAGACAGACAGACGGAGTTACTTTCGCATTTATATTTTTAGTTTGGGTTATAATCGGGTGACAGTTCTTATAGAGCCTGTTGGTATCTTATGGAAAACGTCAGACTTTTGCCGACTAAATCCAACCCGGTCTCTCATCCCGTAATCCAGTATTGCTCCAATGAACATAACTTAAAAAAAAAACTTAATAAAAGTGTCTAGACAGTAACGAAAAAAACTTTAATACCTTTTTTATAAAAAATAGTTGTAAGTAGGTACCTATCTCATTGAAGATTGAACTAAATGAAATGAATAAGAATTAAAATTGTATTTAAGTACGGTAGGTTCGTACGTTTCAATTTACAATTTCATGACGTCATTAATCCGAGAGCTCTAGTAATATAATTAACTTCCTTAGAGGCAATATAGTAATAAACTATTAAACTACATTATTATCCAGAGCAACTATTTCGAAAGTGCCTTATTAAATATTAATAGCAACGCGTATTGTTACCGGAATGTTTCTACAAAGCCCACAGGCGCTTTACAAGATACACATCGTGATCGAATTTTATCAAGTTTCAAGAAAAGTTTATCTTAAAATGGTAAAATCGCAAATTGGGGTTGAGAATATAATAATATGGTATAATTTAGAGTTCATTGTTGAATGTACTTAGCTTTACGAACTTGAGAAGGCTTTGTTTACCTGCCGTCGTAGTCGTCGTACCGAATACCGACTTTGTTTTTAATGTTTTCCTTAATTATAACGACAGGGGCGATTATTATTCTATTGTTAACCAAAATTTGAGTTGAATAGGATGAAATGTGAGACTTTAATTCATTTTCAAAACTTCGTTTAACATTTTGGTAGATCAACGTCATTTTTGACTGATGCTTCGACTAGGTAGTACGTCTTTAACGTTGCTGGTTAATTTTAATGTTTATTAAACTATTACTAAAACAAGTGAATGAACGAAGGGAAGTAAAACAATAAAAATGATAGATGAATTGCTTATGGAACAATTTAAAAAGAACGGCAAGAGTTCAAGGCTTTTTTCAAAATGAAAACTCAAAAGAGAAAAAATTTAATTAGGTAGGTATCTACTTACCTTTATTATAACTTCAAAGAAAAATTAAATGTAGGTAAATAATTTTGCCAAGATATTTATTTTACCCACCTACTTTTTTTCTATTTTTATATTCTTCTGTCTGTCGCAAAATACTTTTAGACAAAACAAAAAGTAATACTTAATATAGTTACTGTCTAAGAAACTTTCTATTGTGAATTTCTAGCCAAGGGTCCAATCGGAAAAGTTACCTATTCTTAAAAAAGAAAACCATTTTATATTCTCTGTGATATATCTACATACATAGGTATAAGTATAGGTATTCACCGTGATACACCTGGCTATGTAAAAATAATACTTAAATATAAAGGAACACGGTAATAAAATGATTAAAACTCACCACATCAAAGCGCAAAAAGAACGGAACTCACCAAATTCTTTAGGCGCTGCAGACTAGGCTCGATTTTAAGAAATGACTACTAGCGTTACAAATAATTGTTTCACGTAAAATTAAAAATAAAAAAGAATAATTCGTAGGATGATCAAATGTCACAAGTCAATGCAGATAATTGTTATGGTGTAGCTTATTTAGGGCTCTGATGTGCCCTGTTTGAGTAGACTAAGTACCGCTGTGTCCTCAGAGAAGCTCAAGATCGTTGACAGCGACCTCTGGCGCCAGGCTTTCGTCCTGGTGCAGATCGAGAGGAACTTATCAATAAGGAAGCCAAGCGCGTGGAGGAATGATCTTCGTACCGCCACAGAAGTCGTTCCCTGTAAAAAAAGTGTTTTAATTGTCAAGCAAAGGGTTGTAGTCTTATATTGAATTTCCAGGACGGGCATGAGATTCTTAAATGTTTTTGGTATGTTTAGAAGTCAGTGAAAAGCACAGTGTAGAACTGTGTTCAATTCAAGGCAACTTCAAATTGTATCTGACTTATAATATTATTATATTTGTTTGGTATGAAAACCTTTTTTTTTAAAAGGAGACTAATTTTTAAATTGCTCAATTGCGCTGGTTCTTAATTATATATCTGCGAACCTTTTTCACCCAGTATTATATTTCAGGTATGTTTTTTTTTAAGATTTTAAAGTGCTACAAGTATCAGGGTTTTTTTGTGAGGGGAAAATCATCAAATGACTTCTCTCAGGGTCGGGCGGGAGGGAGTGACTCTTACGGACTAAAAACCCTCCCTTCCTTCCTTCCTTCCTTCCTTCTTTTGCTCTTGCATTGGGCTTGCCCCACCATCCCGGGCAAGAATGAGGGTTATCGTGCTTTGTAGGTAGGTACATACTTTAACTTGCAGAAGTAGAGAAATTCAATTAGTTTTTCAAATTGTCAAAATTGAAGATTTCAATAACAATTTTGTGGAATTGTGTTATTTGTGTCATATAGCATAACTATCTTGAATACTCGCTCGAAACAAAGAGCAAAATCAATGATTAAAAGGGTGAATATTTTTTATATATATTTTTGCCTACAAAAGCAATTATGGTGTATTTTGAGGTGCTTGTCGATGCTTGCCTAGTAACAACAATAGGTACAGAGTATAACCGTCATCCACAAATTTAACTTAATTCCAAAAGTTAGCAAAGTTACTTCCCTACACGAAACCTTATTAATAAATTAGCGAGATCTGCGCCCGTGGGTTAGCTGTAGCCTTAAAATAGCTACATGTGGGTTTTATTCCTTTTATATACTTACATATTATTAAATTACCACTAATTGTGTATATTTATTGAATACTACTTCGATAAAGTTGTTGTAGGAAAGTTGTTGTTATAGGAAAAAGCAACCTACATTACAACCTTTTTTTGTGAGGCGAAAATCATCATATTATTTTTCTCGCCCAGGGACTCCTACGGACTAAAAACCCCCGTACCTTCTCCTGATCTAGGCCGAGGCAGCGGTGAACATTACACCCTAATTTGCTATCTCCAGGCACAAAAAAGCAAACAATAAAATCGTTCCAATTTTAAATATGTGAACAATCTACTTTTTAAATGTTCCCTCATTTAAAATGTTGATACATAGCTATATAAAAATTAACTAGGCACAAAAACATTAAACAAAACATTCTTAAAAGATTAAAAACAAAAAATATTTGATTACTAAACTAAAAATGTTAACAAATGTTCACAAAATGAAGTCGCTTAAAAAACATTGTTCAAACAACTGACATTGCTACAATGAAATTTACCAACTTTTCATTCGTCGCCTTAAGGAAAACAACATCTAAATATTAAACAAACAAGCACAGTATCAGCTGATATATACAGGGTATGATTTTGAATAAGGGACATAATATTCAAAGAGGCCGATTTTGGTGCTCAATTTCAACAACTTTTACGATGGGACCAATATCGGAATTTCAAAAATAAATATATTTCCCCATACAAATTACAACAGTTTTTTTTTAATGGGACAAACCCGCCGCCATCTTAGAACCGATGCAACTCCTGTAAGCAGGATCTAAATTAGATACAACCATGAAAACACCGGAATACTGAAGTCCGGCGCGTCCCAGGGACATGAATGAATGTCTTGAATCCCGCAACGTAATAGATCAGAAGATATTATTTGAGGAGGAGAAAAAACGTTTTCTTGTTTTCTGCTTCCCTCGGTAAATTTAATGCAACAGAATGACTTAGACCTTAAAGGCACAGAAGAGACTGTACAACTGGGAGAAGCCCAGTCACCAAACGCCACGGAAAATGTCGTATTGTTATTGTAATGGGACCTATGTGTCAGCTGCTATAGTTGTTTCCAGTAATAGGGATGGCAAAAACGTAGAAATTTGTTCTATTTGTTCTACATGATGTGTAGAAAAAATCGCAACGGCTAATTAATAATTTGGCATGGAAAAGTATTTTTTTTTTTGAGATTTCCATTGCTTCTGCGGAACCAAAATCGGCTCCTTGAATATTTGTCCCTCGTTCAAAATAACACCCTCTATATTTTATATATTTCATAAAAAAACACAACGAACTCAAAAGACTTTCAAAGGTTAACCCTAAGGCAATTATTGACTACTTGCCAGTAAAAATGTTTTATAATGTAAACATTTCTTATTTTCTTGTTTC